GACATGTTGCTAGTTTACGGTGAAGCTCGTCAGAATTCAAATCTTGCAGCTCAAATTCTTCGCGACAGATTTCGCCAACGGGTTCACCCAGACAGAAGGACATTTGCGCAAGTGTACCAAAGACTTTGGGATACAGGAGGTGTTCAGTCCACTTATATTCGCACTCGTGAAAGACAGGTTACTGTAGAGCAGGAGGAACAAATTTTACATATCGTGGAAATCAATGCAGATATCAGCACTCGGGAATTAGGCCGCCGCGTAGGACTGTCGCATACCATAATCCATAGAATCCTACGGGAAAATTTGATTCATCCCTACCATGCACACCGAGTGCAGGCCTTGTTATCAGAAGACTATCCTCGCAGACTAACATTCTGTCAGTGGTTTTTGCACAAAACCATTGCAAATCCGGATTTTTTTAAAAACATTCTAGAGACGGATGAATGTACTTTTACGCGGATATTAAATTTCCATTATACTCACACGTGGATCCAAGAAAATCCTCATACCGTTCGTGAAGGTCATTTCCAACAACGTTTTAAAATAAATATTTGGGCGGGTATTCTTTACGATCAGGTAATTGGCACTTTCGAGTTACCCGCAAAGTTGTCAGGAGAAGGATACCTTAGCTTTCTAGCCAGAAGTTTCAAATAATGAAATAATACCTAAGAGCCAAAAATAACAAACTCCATCTTTATTTTACACTGCGTTCCGTCGTAATTTGCATCTGGAATTGCGGCGTTGTTAGATTTTATTTTACATTAAAGTCGCTTTTCTCTAAAAAATGCCGTTTTGACCCCCATGTTATATGAAACTTTTTGCCTGTTTCAACCCCCCCTATCACCCATTTAAATAATGACTATCATAACGTTTATAGTTTGTAAAAACTTATTTCTTTAAATCATACAACACATGGCATTTGAAAGTATGGCTACGACTGTATTATCATTCCTTGTATTTATATTTTTCTGCCTTTTTAAAGTAGCGATATACAGAAAAATACACAATACTAAATAATAATAAAACTGGTTCCTTGACATGCATTCCCTATGTTCATTTCATGGTCCATTTCCTTCATGCGACTTGAGGTGGAGAAACAGATTTCTGTCGTTTATTTGATATTCTGCGCTTATATTGTCTTTTGTAGTAATTTGATGTCGTTATATTTTATGAATGAATATAACATTTTTACACATCATGCCATACAGATATGAACGCTGGGTTTGTACACTGATGAGGACGACCAAAGATCTATGCGGAAGTCTTTGAAACCATTTATGTAAAACACAGAAAACAAAAAAAAAACTTTCATGAGGAATATCCTACGCGCCTCCTCTATAGAGGTACAGATCATCAAGATACACTCAAAAATCTTTATTCAGAGATATTCAAACGATACTACACAGGGTGTCCCAAAATAACATCTCAACCTCTCGTAGTCATAAAGCTCGTACAAAAAATCGTATGTGACTCCCTTAAGAGGATACAAGACTCCTAACGGACGCTACTTTTTTTCAAATGACTTGTGAGCGACACAGTAGATTTCAAGAAATTTTGGCGGTTTAGTAACTAGTTGGCGTGTCAGATGATTACACCCATGAAAAACAGTTCAGCTATTTACCTCAGCACAGTTCGGTATAATTCTGGCACTGGATCTAGCATTTTGGTTCCGCCATTTGAAAAAAGTAACAGTTTTGATAACAGATTCGTAATTCATATCACTGAATTGAGTTTTAGGCTTATATCAGACCACCAGGGGAGTGGCAGCAGTGTGAATCCATAAAAACAGTACCGAAAATGGTTCAATTTACAGAAATCAAGCAATCAGTCATTATGCAGGGTGAAGAAAGAGGTAAAAGAACCTGTCAAAGTTTCGCTGAAATATACATATATTCAAAAGTTACAGAAGAGAGGCAGATTTTAAGGGGAAATTTTTTACAGTATTGGCGGGTTTATATAACCTTTTAATAGTCATAGGCATAATAATAGACGGAAATAGAGATGAAATAGGTATTTCTTATGAACAACTTGTTGAGCATAAGCATAGGGGATGACCTTGAAGTTCGTAACTTTGAAGTCTTATGCTTATGACTGGAATGTCGTTTTGCCATGTCTATGTGTCAAAACTGTCAAAGGTATTCTGTCAAGTGTTAATATTTTGTGGTTTGTTCTCGTTGTCGTTATCCCATTTTATTTTTGATTTTCGTCATTACGCCGTGTTCGCCGTTTGCTTGCTGGATTTTCAGTTTTTTTTTTTGGTTCTGCTGTTGTTAGAATTTACCAACAAATAGGAGCCCGGAGGGCATCATCTGTCAAAACCACAAATGCACTACTGTTCAAGACAGTTGTATGAACACGCTCCAAAATTGTGACTGTGATTATGCTTATACAGGGTGTTCAATTGAAAACATCCCACCACGGGTTTATCGAAAACCACTGATTAAAAGAAAAAACGACGATACACGTCAACAGATTTGTCAAGGGGGACAACTTTCTAACCAAAAACTGTGTCACCCCCTTTCACAATACCTGCAGTTATGCTTTTTAATAAATCCATTTAGATAAAATGTGCAGAGCCTATTGAAATACCAGGCGCAGCAACAATTTTGCGCAATGAAGTATACTAAGTGACATATAAATCCGAACACCCACTTTAAATGGTTTTATTTTAATAAAATTTTGTATAAGTACTTAATGAAGCATAATAAGTAAATGATAAAAATTTCAAAATGATTGCACTGCTTTAAAGCCCTTTAATAATGTGTGGATGCACCCTGATGTGCTACGCATTCTCCAACGCGCCTAGGCATGATTCTGATCAGGTGGTCAATGTCCTCCTGTGGTATCTCATTCCAGGCAACTACCAACTCCTCTCGGAGTGCTTCTAGAGTCTGAGGAGGACGTTGCAAATTGAGCAATCTCCTACCCATCATATCTCACACGTGCTCAATTGGGGATAAGTCGGGAGATCTTGGTGGCCATGCTAACAATGTGACATCATTATGTTTAAAGAAGTCTATTGTGACTCTTGCAACATGTGGTCGGGCATTATCTTGTTGGAAAGTTGGATCTGCCAGGGTGTCAAGATAGGGTAAAAGATGGGGTTCTAGAACTTCGTGGATATAACGCTGCGCGTTCATGTTACCTCTGATGAAGATTAAAGGTGACCTGGAACCATAAGCTATAGCACCCCAAACCATAACTTCAACAGTGTGATGAACATGTCTTTCAACAAAAAACTGTGGATTCCTCCTTTCACGACGTCGCCTTTTAACCCTGGCACGACCATCGTGCATGCCTAAACAAAATCGAGACTCGTCACTAAAGACAATACTGTTCCATTCCGGATCCCAAAGTGACAGTTGTCTGCACCATTCAAGGCGATTACGTCGGTGTTCTCGAGTTAAAGGGAGGACCCAGTGTGGCCGGTATGAAAACCAGCCAAAACTTCTCATTCGTCGGTAAACACTTCGCATGCCAATCGGTCTTCCGTGTTCTGCAAACCATTCATTTGCAATGGACCTGGTAGTGGAGAAACGGTCCCTTAAGGCCAATAATCTTAGGCGGCGATCTTCACGGTGTGTTGTTCTACGGCGGCGTCCAGTGCCCCTTGCTCTTTGCGTACGGCCTTCTCGAAGCCATGCCTGACAACACCTAACCACAGTGTCTACACTTCTTTGCACTGCAATTGCCCGAGAATAAAGTCCAGCTTCCCGAAGTCCCACTATACGGCCCCTATCAAACTCACTAAGTTGACGAAATCGTAAAGGTCTCCGTACTCTAGGCATCGTAACCGATCGTAAAGGATGTCAAGAACCAAAATCCGCCAACGTTGATTCTTTACTGCGGCTGAAATATTCATTTTTAGAGCGTTAGTGAATTAAAAAGAAGCAGTATAAAAACCGGAATGTCCAACTGATAAGGCTGAAAATTTTTTCACTTGTTATTTACAGTAAGATAAATACATTCACCAACTTTTATTAAAATAAAACCATTTAAACTGGGTGTTCCGATTTATATGTCACTTAGTATATTAGGATTTATTTTAAAATGACATAAAGCTTCAACTTGACCGGCTTCATCCACAACTTTTCGATGATCACGTTTTTTATTTGTAACAGTTCCAGTTTGAGTAAATTTAGCAATAAAGTCCAAAACATACCTATGCGAAGTTATCTTCCCGGATGTCTGGCGTTAAACGTGATGGCAGTTTGCCGAGCGCATTGATTTTGGGCACCATATTAAATTAGAATCATTTCAACTCTTTCGGCTAGTGTGTAAGCCATTTTACAAGCAAAATCTGAATCATTAAACTAATTTTCACTATCCCAAGATTGTCACAAAGGTAACTGACAGCAAATTAAATTATTTCTTTTCCTTAGCAACAAATAACTGTACAGGCATGACAATAAACATCCTGGGGGGTCGAGGGTGAAATGGGATGAAGTAGTTTTTGGTTAACAAGTTGTTCCCCTTGACAAATCTTTTGACTTGTCTCGAAGTTTTTTCTTTTAATTGGTGGTTTTCGATAAATCCGTGGTGGGAGCTACGCCTATTAAAAGGTTGTATAAACCTGCAGTAATTTGTGGCATTATTTTTGTCGATACAAATGGGGACACTGGTATATTTCGATGGCCCTTAAATACAATGGCTACCTACGATTTAGGACGGTCTCTCGTGGTTCGCTCCGTTCCTTAAGCACTCGTGACGCATTTTATTTCTTACACTCTGTATACTTCCGGGCAGCCCCAAGTGCTTTTAACTTATATCGATCAAATAAGGCAACTTGAGAAATGCTACATGGTGTTGTTACTAAGGCAGAGAAAGGAAAGGCTGTGTATCCGCCTGGGGATCATAATAACCCTCCGAAGCAGGAAATACGGGGAGAGAAGAACTGCAAAATATATTAACCATGGCTTTAACAATTAAGCCTGGATGATGCACAAAAGTGGCCCTTTTTCGGAGCACGAAACGATCACTATAATGATGTATTCAATTACAGGGAGATCCAGGCAGCAAGCGGAGAATGGATGAACGAGTTCGTGCGAAGACCAAGCAGGAGAAGAGACAATAGGGTATACGTACCTGCAGCAGACATCATCAAAAGGACTATTCGGCGGTCCTGGACTATATCAAGTAAGTCAAAGTTTTAAACAAAAATCACAATTTTCCATTATAGTATTTCGGTGTTTGTATAAGTAGGCAGGTACTTCCAAAATTTTGAATATGTTATTACTATCAACGAAAGCTTTTTTATCCGTGGAGTAAAGGATCTACGGAATTTTGCTTTTAAACTAAACCAACAACTTTGGAAAAATACCACGGTCTTTTTTACAGTGCTTTTCAGAAAGCCCTTTCCCCTACTTATTTTTTGAACAAGTAAAATTAGTGAGCACCGCAAGGATACTATGTAAAAAACGTCAAAAAAACCGTCGAAATGTCATCTGGCAGACTGGGTAGTTTTTAGTTTGTATATAGTCCATTCCACTGTTCGCTGACGTTTAAGCAACACGTACAGCTACAACGAGTTCACAACAAGTGTACAATAGCTTGTGTTAATATTTTGTAGAAAAACCTACGTTATGTCACGAAAAACCTACGAAATGTCAAAAAAAGCCGACAAAATGTCACTTTTCAAGAAACGTAATACCCATGCCGGATGATAAAATTGACGCATGAATATTGTATTTTAACGCAAAAATAACAGTTCAACTGGAATTAGGGTCATGTGATACTTTATTTTGAAGCTTCTTATGAGTATTCTAGGCTCTAGGCCGCAAAATTACTATCTTTGGCGGACTGATGGGTTGTCAAGCTATGTTAACTCAATCTTCTTGTTTTGTGGTATATCTGAATGTGCAGTAATATATAGAAAAGTGCATATTAAAAAAATGTGCAGATGTCTTTGCTAATGGATTTCCACTTCTTAGAATAGGATAGACACATAACAAATAGAACCTCCAAAGAGAAAGAGACTAATATGACATACTATAGCGTTTTGAGGATGCCAAGTTGCCATTCTGAAAGAAAGTTATTTCATATTAGAGGGTTATAAAGTACTCATACTCAAAATGAGGTATTCATCAACTTCATTACTCCAAAATTCAGGTTTGTAACTGGTAACGTACTGAAGATTTGACCTTTTTGAAAAGCACTGTATAGTTAAAAATACAGAAGTATGGGAGATGTATCTTGTGATGTCTCCCCTCGGTTGCTTCTACAGATGACTTGACAAATATTTTGCGCCAGGTAATTAATCATCCCCGAATTGTATAAACAGACATTATCATTGAGGTTGGATTGCACGATCTCGCAAGCCGGTGGACCTGACTATTGCGAGAAATCACGCGGCCGTTAGGAAAGCATGTTTATGGCAATTCTAAAGTTTCCCTTGCCATGTTAAACGTAGGCCTATGTTGTTGAAGAACATCTTTAATTGGAGCTACAAATATGGAGTATTCGTGGATCGGCGTGACTATCTTCCGTTCCACGTTTATACATTTCTGATGCTTTCCTCCATAGAAAACGATTCATTTTTACGTCCTTTAAGCGACAGATTCGCAATATAAAGTTAGGCACCAAATTTGAACCAGGAAGAACCTAGTGATACAGCCTTCAGTTTAAGTAAGGAAACTATTTTCGTTAACTATCTGCTCAGCTTTGAGCTAGTCAAAAGACAGCTTTAAGTAGGTTGGCCCTGCCCTTCCTATGCCAAGCCGTTATCAGTTCATAGAGGATTAAGTTCAGCGCAATTTAGATCCTCTAAGAAAAAAGTTACATCTGCCAACATTGTCCCTTTCCACATATGTGCTGCAGCTCCCAGCGCTGCAGAGCTGAAGCGACTTGTCGTTTATTTCGTCCATGGTCCTTGTATGTGTTTTTTGCGCTGCAGTACGGATAGATTACCGGTTCGCTGGGTGGTGAGCTTAGATAGCAGAAGTACGGGGACCGAAAACATTTCACTACCACGTTTTAAAGAAAAATGTTAGGGGAAATATGGCTAATCGAATTACCGAAGTTGGGAAGTGGGAACATATAACGGAGATCAAACAATTTCCATATACCCTTCCCCACCCCCTATAACCACCAAGCCCGGAAATTCAACTCCTACAAAAAAATTTCTGAAAATGATCAGGTCCCTGTAATCGCCAAAAGACGAAGTTTGAGCAATATTAATGCATCGTATCTAAGAAGGGCTTGTGTTCAAGGACGGTTCCAAGGCGTCATGGGGCCAAGACCACCGGAACCGACAACTAATGTTTTTTTGGTCTTATATGGGATTGCGATGACGAAACGTATCCCAACATAAGCCTTTAAGCATTCGTGCTACACTAACAGTTAGTATAGTGATGGCAGAAATATCCTTCTACCGATATCATTTCTTTAAAAAATATAAGTGAAGAGAACGTAATTAGGGCTTCGAAAAGATTAAAGAACAAAATGACGTCTGGATGTGATGGTATTCCAAGTTTTTTTGTTAAAGATTGCATTCATATACTAGCGAAACCGCTGGCTTCCATATTCAACCTAATTCTAAAATCAGAGACATATCCAAATATCTGGAAGATCTCTAAAATATGTCCTATTCACAAAAGTGGAGATATCTCTGATATTTCCAACTATCACCAAATAGCAATCCTGTGCAATTTCAGCAAGTTGTTTGAGATCATCGCTTATGAAACGGTTTACTGCTCGGTCAGGGATGCAGTCTCTATTAATCAGCATGGGTTTATGAGAGGCAGATCTACGGTCACCAACTTGGCTCTGATTACTCAGTACATTTCTGAAGTACTGGACGGTCAGGGACAAGTTGATGTCATCTACACAGATATTCAGAAGGTGTTTGATCAAGTTGATCATTATGGATAAGCTTAAAACAGTGGGTATGTCTGATGCAATGCTGTCGCTCATGAATTCATATTTGAGGGATAGAAGGTTATTTGTCGAATATGGTGGTCATAGGTCGAGTTATTATCGGGCCACGTCTGGGGTACCTCAAGGGTCAAATCTATGTCCATTATTGTTTTTAATATTTATTAATGACTTGTCTTTTGAACTGAAGTGTTTCCATTTGTTTTTCGCTGATGACCTTAAAATCTGCACGTCAGTCAAGACAGTCGAGGATTGCGTCATGTTGCAAGATGACTTAGCTCTAATTTCTTCATGGTGTTCACGAAACTGTCTCAGTCTGAATGTTTCGAAATGTAAAGCTATGACTTATACAAGAAAAGTTAACTATTTAATTTATGATAATTATAACATCAATGGTCAGGTTATAGACAGATGCACCTCTTATAGAGACCTTGGAGTCATTTTTGAAACCAAGCTAACGTTTACTGAGCATATACTCAATATCTCGTCGGCTGCCACTCGACTACTTGGTTTCTGTATCAGAAACTGGAAGGGTTTCTCCAATGTTGATACATTAATGACTTTATTTTTTACTTTTGTCAGGAGCAAGTTGGAGTATGCGACTCTGATCTGGTCTCCTATATACCAAAATTCTGTCATGATCCTTGAGGCCATTCAACGTAAAGCTTTAAAGTATTTTCACCTTAAATGCACAGGTTCTTATCCAGAAAGAGGTTGTGACCATAGTGCCCTATTAGAGTTTTTCAATTTGGATTCACTGTCAACAAGACGAAACATATTTGCTTTGTCGTTTTTGTATCGCCTCATTCACAATAAAATAGACTGTCAAAATTTATTTGAAAAAATATGTTTCCGCATTCCAAGGCTAGGGAGTCGACAACAAACGGCATTCTATTGTCAAGCTGGCCGTACAAATGTTATAACAAAATCGCCAATTAATCTCATGTGCTGCGTCATGAACAGTGTTACTGAATCGTGTGATATTTACAGTGACAGTTGTGCATCGATTATTAACTGCTATAGATCATCCAATCTTATTTAGAATGTGTGATACTATAGATTTAAGTCCAAGAACCATGTGTCTTTAATTGTTATTTTTTTCAGCGTTTCCTGTAATTGGGTTTCACCTGTTGGAAATAAATAAATAAATAAATTACGAGGAGCCTAAAAAAATAGTTGGCATCCACTTTTTCTTATCCATTCAGGAAATTACATATACAAATTTGCTGATTTAAAAAATGAGAGAGATAAGAAATAATTATATTCACTGTACACTGTCGAATTACAAGTCATATGCATGCTAACAGTAATTACACACAACGCGGACGCGGTGATGATCTCCCGTAATTCTCCTCAGTTTTTCGTAATTCATAACTTTGAACATAACTTCTTTTCAGAAAGCACAACATAAAAATAGTCCGTCGGGCACAGCCAATAGATATACTTCATTGACAGCATATTCAGTAATGATTTTCTCACACAGCAAAAATCACTGATTTTATACACATGCAGACCAATACACATAATCATCCAGGTGCGATCTTGCTATTCGACCAACTTTCTTCTCAGAGATAAAATCTACAGACAAGAACCATTTGACCTCACAAAATATATGCAACCAGTAATGCGTTTAGTTTAGTTGAATGATTCCTCCATAGATGGACGTTCACAACGATCCTAGTGAGCAAACGTGGAATGACTGTTTGCCCCGTAAAAACTACCTAGCTTGCAAAATGGAATCTTATAGGTTTTTTTTTGAGGTTTTATATTTTTTTACATGATACCCATGCGGGTTTTTTGTGACATTATGTAGGTTTTTCTACAAGATGTTAACTTAGCACTAGCTGTTGGGCACGTCATCAGGTTTCAGTTATTAATTTTTGGCTCTGATGTGATGTAAAATCTGCTTCAGAGATGGCATTACTGGAAGTCTAACCTGTAAGATGTACACTATAGATAGAAGGAAACGGCAATGCATAGGTACATAGTGAGAATTTGTGTGCTAATAATATGTGTTAATTCTATTTGCTTCTTGTCTCTTAACTTAAAGTAACTGCAACGGTTACGGTTTTTTACTGTGCAGAACCTTTCGAGAGGCCATTGCGTATTTCACGTTCGCATTTTTCGTTAATGGATAGACTTGACCATTCACCTGTTCCTCTGATACCCTGAGCTAAATTTCACTGTAATTTTCGATAAAATATGCTTTCTCAATATAATGACGTCTTTTTCTAGATCCCACACCTCGCTGGTGGGCAGTCCGCGGGTCTCCAGAATTCCGGCCATACAGCAGCCTGCCCAGAGACCAGGATGCAAACGATTATCCCACACTGGCGAACCTGAGGTACAAGCAGAGGTCGGCATCAAACGCCGTACCTCCTTCACCGACCTTCGGTAGGAGGTCGCCAACGAGAAGGACCCAGTCTGAGGACATTTATAACGAGCGAGGTGAGGATATGGTCAAAGCTTTACAAAAATTGAAACATTTGTGTAATATGGCAGGCATTACTGATTCGAGGAGATTGATTGCAGATCAGTAGTAGAGTAAGAGATAATTTTGCTGACCGTGAGAAAAAGCGATATCATTTGATGTGTGCTGTTGGTGTTGTTGGTACCAATACTACTGGTTCTGGTGGAACTACCAGCAGGAAATCCTAGTTTCAACGATTTAGTACTTTTAGCTGGAATTTCTTCTTTATATCTATATTTCTCTAAATTTTGATTCTACCTACTCCTACCTTTCTTGCTTGTGTGTAAGAACGCCAACGTTGGCACCAATATGGTATGTTTCGAGGTCTGTAAATTAAGTAGTGCGACAGATTTTTTTCCTTTCATCATTCAAATATAATTACTTCCTTCTTAAGCCACACAGCTTTGGAGACGGTCCTGCCACTCACCATAGCATTGCTGGAATTCCGATACTGGAATAGCCTTTAGCTGGTCGGTTACAGCCATTTGAATGTTTTCGAACGTCCCAAAATGAGTTCCCCTGAGATGATTTTTCAACTTCTGGAAGATGAAAAGTCACAAGGACTCAAGTCTGGCAAACAAGGATGCTGAGGAGCCACAGGAATGTTTTTACTGGACAAAATCACGTTTATTGACATTGCATTATCGTGATACAACCCATTTGTTCTTGATTTGATGAGCGGTGGTGTTAGTCAACTATTGCCTGATCATTCTAACAAGATCGCAGATTCTGTCGATATTTTCATCGGTTCTTGAAGGTCTTCTGCTTCGTGAATCATCTTCAATCGACTCTCTCCCTTCGGAAAATGCCTTAAACCGCCGAAAAACCTGGGCTTTTTACAAAACACTATCTGAGTAGGCCTACTGAAGCGTAGCAAGATTCGCTTGTACTGTGCCCAAGTCTAAAGCAAGACCTGATGGCACACTGTTGCTCGAAATTGATATCGCCCATTATTAGAACACCAGAGAGAAAACGCTACGGATAACCAAATGACTGAAGGCAGATCACATGTTCTCCTGTGAATCCTCCAAGTCAGGCGCCTCCAGTGTTGCCAGATCGAACGCTACGTTGCCAGTGGCCTGGCAATGTGCATTGGTTTAGCTTTCACACATTGGTGTCAGACCCAATATGTGAATGCGACATTAGAATAAATTGCTGCGCCATACGTCAAAACCATCCAGCTCACGAGAAAGATCAGTACATCAATCGTCCCCGATAGCATTAAGTATTTAATAAATATTTTTAAAAAATGTCTGTTAGAGATTTGTAGCGACAGATTTTTTAATAGTTAATAAATATATTTCTTATACATTCATAAAATATTCATTACAGATATTCGTGGTATATAAAGTTCATAGCTTTTTGCCATATTTTATCAAATATTTACAAAATATATGAGGAAAGGTTTTTAAATATCAATTTTATATTTTGATGAAATATCTTATATTTTTCGTAAATATGTACTTAGGAAATATATGAAGCAACAGATTTTGAAGCATTGATCTGATTTATATTTTCAGTGTATGTAGAAAATTTTCATTAGTTATTTTAGCAAAATCAGTAGGAATGCTTTTATAAAATTCATTCTAGATATAATGCTTTAATTTTGTAAAAACAAAACTACTGATCATGAAGCATTATTAAATACATAAGTTGCTTTCCAGTGCTCTTTTGTTTGAGATGTTCTCCCGAACTACTCAACTGGGCCACTATAATGCACCTAAAGGACCCCACATTTTCTTCCTTTGAGAGTTCGAGGTTTGGTTAATTTTTAAGAAAATTTGGTATGTTATTTTAGCGATCTTGATCCTTAGTAAGGGGTCAAATTTAAAAATATAGTATTTTCGACTGCTCAAATTTTGGAGCGTCGCAGTTGAACTTAAAAATTTGAAAATTGTTTTAGCTGATTTTCCCCTACTCCGACAATTGAGAATTTAGAAAAAACATTTTTGAAATATCTCGATCACGTTTTGATTATATTGCTTTTCATTGGGATATTATGAATATTATTTCCATATTCATTTTCAGATAAATCCACCAATCCCAAATCGCAAATACTTGTTACACCTAAATGCTAGTTATTTATGGTCTTGTAAATATCTTTATTCTCAAGTGGCACAATAATGTTCACTAATCAGATGAATTAAGATATATAATTACCGCAAAACTTACCCTTTTCCTAAAACAAAAACACTCAAATAATGCAGAGCTTGGAAGTACACAGGAAGCACGGCAAAAAGGATGCCGGCAAAAGGGTCGGCTCATGTCGGCTTGCCATTGGTCACTCGAGGTCACACGCACGTGCGCCGTAGCCGAAAATATTTAATGAATATTTTCTAAATATTGGAGTTTTAATATTTTCCATCGATTGAAAAGTAAATATTTGATAAATATTATAAGTGAAATATTGTATTTAAAATATTTAAAAGATATTGAATGAATATTTAATCAAAATATTATATTCCAAATACTTATTAAATTAAATTTGTTTGATAACAAATATTCAAGTACGATAAAAATATTATTAAATATTGAATAAATATTTAATGAATATTTCGAGCTATCGGGGGTAGAAAGTATTCTTCACTTTATTTTGTCATAACAAGTGGAAATTAGTAAAATTCCTCATATAGCCACCTTTACAGTTTTTAGACGTCATATCTTGCACCTGTCAAACGAACCCTGAACCTGAGTCGGATACCAATCGGGTAAAATGGATGCGTCTCAATATACCTGTATAAAGCTAATTTCAGTATGTTGGTGTGGAAGGATGATTTGAATATATTTTTGTCTTAGGTGCTTCCCCTAACCTATCAGAGTGCTCAAACGAGAGACCAGTCAGGATGAATCCCCTGATGAAGTATGCTGATAGCAGAAGAACCTCTCCAAAACGAAGATTAAAGAGCGACAGTAGCGGAGAAGGAAGCATCAAGGAAGACGGAACTGAATACGACAAAGGTACTGGTTTAAAGCTAACTTGTAACTTGTCGTACTTTTTCTCTTTTTACTCGCCCTATTTACCTTTTCGTACTGTCCAAAAGTTAAACTACAAAGTAAAAAAAAATATATTCATAATATACAAAATCGTTATCGGAAACACGTGTCAGGAACGTTCGTGCTGGTAATTTCTGGTCGGCAGAAAACAGTACGCCACTGGTTTTTGCTAAAAAGGACCATTTTGTGGAATATTAATCATTTTATTAATGAATGCGTCAATCTATTTTCGCAAGAACCAATGGCATACAATATAATATGGTGAATGTCTGTAAATAAGTTGATGACCTGAGAAGTTATTTGCAATATTGTAATATTTCAAACATATTTGTCGTAGGTTTAAAAATTGCCGTTAGGGAAGCACGCCTTGATATTGGATATGAATATGTATCGTATAATAACTATTTATTATTTATTATATTGGTAAACATTTATAGTTCCAAATGTTTACCAATTGACTGGATTATAGCTCGTTTATGATTGCATCAGTACCCTGACGTACGACTGGTTGCCTATAACCATGTAAATGCATGATATTACTGTTGTTATAGTACAGTGGTATTGGCAAAATACGGAGAGAATGCAATGATAAAGGTTTTCATCCGTCATTGTAGAAGCTGCCTATGTTGCCATACTAATAATATTATGTTCAAGCTTAAATGCGTGAAAAAGCAACAAACTGACAAAAAAGTTACAAATATGCAAAACATAAGAAGTCAATCTGAACAAGCACAGAGGGAATATCTGCAGTTTACGTTCCCGATAGCACTAAATATTTATTAAATATTTTTAAAATATGTTTGTTAAATATTTGTAGCGACAGATTTTTTAATATTTAAAGAATATATTTCTTATATATCCATAAAATGTTATCGATAATTGTAATATATATAATTCATATCATTTTGCGATATTTTTTCCGAATATTTAGAAAATATATGAGGAAAGATTTTTAAGTACCAATTTTATATTTTGATGAAATATCGTAATATTTTTCGTAAATTGGTAATATGGATTTTCAAGCATTAATCTGATACATATTTTCAGTGTATATAGAAAATTCTTCGTTGGTTATTTTAGCAAAATCTGTAGAAATATCATTAAAAAAACATTCTTTCGGAAGAAACTATTTTGTGATTTTATATCATAATTGCAGAGACAAAAATATAGTATTTTCGACTGCTTAAATTTTGGAACGTCGCAGTTGAACTTGAAAATTTTAAAATAGTTACAGCTGATTTGCCCCCTACTACGACAAAAATAATAATAATAATTGAGGTATTTAATAAAAGGATTTTTTATGTATCTCGATTGACTTGCGATTATATACCTTTTCATTTGGATGTTACGAATATAATTTTCGTATCCATTTTCAGATAACTACACCAACCCCAAATCACAAATAACTGTTACAGTTCAAGGGTAATTATTTATGGTCTTGTAAATACCTCTAGACTCAACTGGCACAATAATGTTTACTGGTCAGATAAATTAAGCTATGTAATTATGGAAAAACTTATCCTTTTCCCTTTTCACAAAAAAACACTAAACAGATGTACCATAGGCAAAATGGATGCCGGGTCGGCTCATGTCGGCTTGCCATTATGCCAGTGGTCGCTCGGGGTCACACGCACATGCTCCTTAGACGAAAATATTTAAAGAATATTTTAAAAATAATATTGTAGATATTTAACAGATATCGAATAAATATTTAATAAAATTGTTATATTCCAAATATTTATTAAATATTTGTTTAAGATAACAAATATTTAAGTAAAATAAAAATATTATTAAATATTGAATAAATATTTAATGAATATTTCGTGTTATCAGGGGTAGAACTGAAAAAAAGGCATCTGAAGCTTGGATCCTCGGATTTCGTTCACCAAGTAGCCATTAACGATTATTTCATATTTACAGACTTCGTAGTATAAAATAATAACTGAAGTTAAAATACTAAGGGTAATAGCTGCATGAACCGAATTACTGGTATCTGTAACATTCACGGCTAACTTTTTCATGCGTATGTGATGTAACGATGTATGTTTCGTCCATATAATTATAGGAAGATTTTTTCTCTATATTCTTTCATCCTTCTCAGAAAATTTCTCCTGAGATGCTAAATCTCCGGTTTCTCCGTAAGAAGTCTGCTATTAGCTCTTGCCTTTCCCCAACGAAATCCCATTGTCCTCTTTCCTTAAAGTTTCATGCGATCCAACGTAATTGTGTTCTTGAAAAAATTTCCTGTGTATGCGCCGCAAAGTTCGAACCTTCTTTTCCGTTATGTAAATATTCATTATAGATCGACGAAGCAATCCTCTATCAAAGTCGACGAAATCGGATTTCAGAGTGGCTCTTCGTCTTTTTTGTTTGGTGTCGAAACATATGCCGGAGCTCCTTCTTCAACAGATTTCATTTCGAGACAAATCCTCCTAATAGTCGATAGACTAGACCCGTGGTCATGGCTCAACGCTCCTGAACTTTCTTCAAATCTTTGAGAGGTTTATTTCCTTGCTTCTCGTTGCATAAAGAATATAACGTTTGCTACAACCTCCCTAGTTTGTCCTGATAAAACTGTACCTGGAAGTTTGGACTTAAAATCCATTATAAACGAGTAAATCTCTTAGCACACCAAGGAATAAGTGGCGACAATTATTAGCGTAAAATTGTATGTATTCAACTCGCGAATTCGTAACGATACATACAATTCACAGATAATAAGCAATGAAGTTGTTTCACTACTGCGCACCGAGAAGGCGTGACATTATTCAAAAATTTACATCTCTTCCTACACTTGACGAGCTGTATGTACACGAAAAATGTCTGTACAGCAGCATTGTCACTTGCAACTCACATAATTTAGGAAAACATCACATTTGTGCAAACATGTACGTCAAGCTTAAAAGGTAGAATTTCAAGAAAATAATTATTTTTTCTGCCAAGAGTCTTTACTAATGAGTAAGGAAAATGCCGCTGATTTATTGAGTATCAGAAACCAAATATACCCGAAAATTATAGATACTCCCTCCGTACTTAGCACGGCAATATGGGACATTTGCCCTTGATCAGTTTTGTGCAGCAACAGATACCAGATAAAGCCTTAGGGAGAAAAACGGGAACAAAACAGCAATCACGCAAAATCGATCAGAAAATGGAGTAGAGTGAATATGCCAGTAGTCGTAGGATTTAGACAAAAATGGAATACAAAATGTAATTACGAATTTTCTGTTCAAGACAACACAACTAATGTTTTTCGCCAACAACAAATACGTTGCTTACAGGTACATACTCCTGTAGTTTTATAAAAAAATATTCTCGGACCAAGAAGGCTACTTAGTCGACAGGCTAGCTTCCAACTGTCGGACAGCATTTGATGGATTAGTTTGAGACATAACCGCATTTAAAAATCAGCTGTCATTAGGACTTCGAGCAAAATAAATTAATCACACTCATACTGAAATTTAATTTAGATATTTTTATCAAATATGCATACAAACTAGGAAAAAATGAACAAAAAACTAATTTTTACCTCCAGTCCTGTATGGCTTTGAACTACCATACTTCATACTGTTTACATATTTCAAGCAATTTTCCAACGTTTCTCACAGCTTCGACTATATAATTTAGCCCGCCGTCATTATATATGTATACAGAATTTATTTTTTCTTGGTATTCATTCCCGAATGAAGAGGAAATGTAAAATTTTATTTCAGAGTAACGTGAAAATATGGCGGGAAAATGGAAGTGGCCGGTTATTAGGATGCTATGACAATTCGTTCATTTCAGTAGTCGCACACAATATCACTGGTCAAAATCCATTTGTTGAAAGTAATATCCATACTTTCCATGTTAAACTATCAGCGTCAGATTTTACGTTTGAACTTTGTATGAAGTTTTGTAACTACCCTCTCATCCAAAAAAGCGGAAACACTCATAGCGCTTTCTTTTGATGAAACTAGTGCATGTTTATATTCTTTTGAATAATACTTTAAACTAGTTTTACATTCAGTGCAAAAATGTCACACGACCTGAAGGTGCTAGTGTTGTTGACTATCAACAGTGTCACAGCTCTTACAGGCGACTTTACGTGCATTTTTCTCACGGGTCTCTCTTCTATTCAAAAAGTCACCAAAGCAACATTGGGCCCCTCCAGCAAAAATCAGCTCTAGTTCGAACTTTATCTGAACAATTTAGATGGATTTTAAGTTATAGAAAAATTTTAGATCGGCGTGAATATTGAAACAGTTGAATTAGCTGTTTTATTGGCATGTTGAAGCAGCATCAGATTAACTTTTTGCACTCAATTACTATTAAAAAACCTTTTGCACCATCCATGAGCTTGTTTCGGTTACTTGTTTTTCATTTTTTTGTTCTGAGTGGTCGTCATTAATTTGCAAATAGCGATAAATGTGGAGAATAGCACTTCCGCAAATGGTGCCCAGTATATGTATCCTGTAGTAATTCACGTTATTTAACGTATTTTAGTGTTGTTCACCAAGTTTGTATTCAATCAAACATTAATCACGGCAAACATGACAACAACTATCGATCATATTTGTTTTTTTTTTTCTTAATTAGACTTTTATGCCGATTCTATAAATAGCGTACACTCCAAATTTGACTCGACGCCCTTTACTTATCGGTAGCATCCGTGGATAACTTTTAAACTCTATTATGCACAACAAGCTTGCTGATGAATCATCAAGTTTAATTTACTTCAAAAAGTTACGATGCGCATTATAACCTGTCCCGTGCGCACTATTAAATGCAAAAACCAGGCTGATACACATGAACATGGCATTACGCATTAAATTTTGATATTCATTTCTGAGTTATCATGAAACTTTCAAAGTTTCCATTGCCGTATTTTATTTGACAATAATTGCAGTAATTTATGTTGATCGCCAAAACAGTTATAGTCCGCACTATGATAGTAGGAAATACGAAATGACACGCTCTTTTAGGGGCAAATTGTATGTTGAACTTAGGCAGAACGTTCCAAAAGCGGAAACTTTTATCAAAAGAAAGCTACATCAAAATATATTGGAGGCACAACATCTACATATATATTATTCTGTCCAAACAAATATTCTTGAAAATACTCAATTCGTCATTGTTTATCAGGGAGATCCACTACTGTTCGTGATTGAAAATGTGGTTCAGTAGGTTTGTCAGAATAATTGTTAGATACCAGACAAAATCTCGCGCAATGGAAATGGCAAAGCAGAACGGAGAAGGCTACGTTTCACGATAGAAAAGAGAATGTCCTATTTCCATATGCTTTAACTGACACTCCAATTTTGAGACCGTAAACTCCTTTGATCTTCCAGGTTTTCTAACTCCGGAACCAATCCGCAAGCAGCACTCCGGTGGTTCCGGTGGTAGCATAGAAAAGCGAGTCAGTTTTGAGAATTGTGTCGACAAGTTCAATAGCAATACGTTGTCTCCAACTCCAGGACCGAACGACAGATCAATGCTTCGTAGCAGATCCCTAAACGAAGGCAGGCGAAGAGAACGTAAGGTACCACCTCCAGGTTCAAAATCACTGGGCGACGAACATCAGTCTGACCATTCCGAAGAGGTAAGAGTTCCTTAGTAGTATTCTGCAACATTGGTATTTACTTTCTAATTTCCATGGTCAAGAGATTAGGAGAACCCAACTCCCTGGATTTAGTGGATATTCAAGGAGTCTAAACTAAAACGTGATAACGATCACAGACAATGTTAAATAACTCAAAGTGAGAATGATTGGAAACAAGAAACAAAATCAGGAAACGAGTATGTAGTAGTCCTCATGAAGGAAAAGAAAAAATACTGTAGCGTTTTTCTGGGTTCTTTTGGGTGTGGATTAACAAAAATAAATGCACTAATTTATTTAGCTTGACTAGATACAGACATTTTTATGTACACCACTATTTATGTCTGACTAATTCTTATGTCGCGCCATTGACTGAACTAAACTCCACTCTGCTCTACTCTACTCTGCTTCCCTCTCCCGGCCGTTGAGCTATATAGTCCGCATCGTCGATGCGAGAAGATTCCGGTGAGCCGCATAGCGTCATTTCAGAATAGTCGAGGTCACTTCGCGTCGATCTAGAAGGCGAGTCACTGGCACAGTCCTCAACAGATATCGCCAACAGTACTATTCATTATTGTTAAAAAACTATGGTAGCGAGATCGATAGCAATAAGAATAATTCTAAGATGACGTTGAGGCCGTTAAGTAATATTGTTTCTCCAAATAGACAGTATGGAAAGCGACAGAAAAAAATTAGTATAGCAGAAAAAATAAACAGTTATTTTCTAAACAGTATAAATCAAATAGCTGCTAGCGATACGACAGTGATGTGTCTGATAAAATGTTTGTTCGCACTGGTGTAGCTCAAGGATCAATGTTAAGATCCCTTCTGTTATTGATCAATTAACTGTACCAACAAACTTCAATATATGCTGATGACACCTCTATTGTGACTTTTGAAAAATAAGAAATGCCTTCACAACACAAATGTAACACCAAAATATTCATGATTAATTCTGGGTTTAATGGCAATAACCTTTTTTTAAATACAGCTAAAACAGCAATAATTCAATGACAAAGAAGTTGATCTTAATGTAACTGTTGGGGATTCCTTTGTAGCTACAATTAATTGCGATGCTCTCAAGTTTTTGGGACTTCACATCGATCCATGCTTAAGTTGGAAATATCACAGTAGCCATTTAATTTCTAATCTGCATTCAACTGCATTCTTAACCCTTTCAGTGCGGGACCTTTTTTAACTGTACTGTCACCACCGCCGACTCATTTTGCATTGTCTGGGCGATGACCTATATATACGTCACCATAATAAAGGTTAAAGTACAGTAACACAGGGAACAATGCAGCTTGAAACTTTATTACTCAATAAAAATCAAACATTTAAATGCTGGAAATGTAATAAAAAAACTCAGGACTGAACGAAAAAAAAATTGAGCAATTTAATTGTTCAAAGTCGGCTACTTGATGATACGAGTAAATCCGAAAGCAGGGCACAATACATAGAACAACGTCGCATCCTCTACACATGTAGCTGCTCTCTTTTCTTTGTTCCTGCTTTCGTCTGGGAGCAGACTTTGCATCTCCTAGTGGCAGTTTTCGTTCCCTCTTTTCTTGGAATCAATTCCGGAAAATGCCGTTTTGTCAGCTTTGCACTTCCCTGATCAAAATAAAATGGCTTTTCTGTTGTTGTTGTTGCTTACGCTTTTGGCCACGTTTAGGCCTTTCAGAGTGACCAGAGCGCTCTTCCTCCGCCATCTCATGTAAGACTAATCGGAGTCCAATGCTCGGTTTCAAAAATCGCAAGCATGATACAGACGTTAGACAGTGCAGGCGGGTGTCGTAAATTTTCGCCATAGCCAAAATCTTCTGTCGTCCGGGGAAACGGTGACCGAAAGGTTGACATAATATTCCGACGCTCGTCTGTGGTAAAATGCAAGTTTCTAAAGGTGTCGCATCCGTAAGGCAGTAGGCCAATGGATGTAATTCATCGATGTCGGATATATACCTTTACGTCAGCCGGCCGGTGGGTATATTCTATAACTGACGTATAAATATGTCAGCCGTACTGAAAGGGTTAATAAACAATCCGAGATCAGTCCCGACATTTGATCAGAGTTATTGTTGTTTCACCATGGTCAGGTGGGCAACAGAGTAAGGTACGGTATCTGCTTTTGGGTAAGGACCAACACAGTATGTGTCCGGGGCACAAAGGTGGATATTAAGGTGTATGGTTGGGATATCTAGTATGCATTTGTGTAAAACTTTATTCATCAGGTACGGTATGATAACATTACTCAGCCTCTTTATGCAGGGTGATTCACAAGTCGTGACCAACTATGAAACATCATACACAGGACCGCATTTTGAGGAGGGTCTTCTATGTAACATTTTTTCCTCGAGGGCTTCATCAAACAGATGCTAGGTGTTGAAGTTTAAAATAAAAAACATTTTTTTTAATATCTTCAAAACTGCCAACTGGAATTTTGTGTGGATTTACTCAAGTATTGTCCACATTCAAAAGTGTTTACTTAAGATTAACATGCATCAGTGGCGGGGATACAGGGATTATTAGCATTGTTTTTTCAAATAGAAATAGTACGCCACTGCTTAAATAATTACTCTTGCGAGGTCTCCTGATTTGAACCCCCTGGATTTCCTTTTGTGGGTCGCTTTTGAACAACTAGTGTATGCTGAACAAATTAATACAGTTCATCAGTTACAAGAAAGAAGAGATAATGCGTTCCATCAAATTCAAACCACAACCAATGTTGTGGAAATTTTATTATTAAAAAGATGCCGCACTTGTATCCGTCAGAATGGTGGTATTTTCCAGCATTTATTGAAAAAAAATCTAACTTGTTTTACTTTTATTTTCACGAAAACAGTGCACTCTAGGAAAAAACACAAGAGTAATTACCTGTAGCAAAGGTAAAATTCGGAAAATTGCGCGTTTAGAAAAAAACAGTGGCGTACTATTTTTATTTGGAAAAACTAATGCCACTAATCCCCTGTATCTCCGCCTCTGGCGCAAGTTAATTTTAAGTAAAGACTTTTGAACATGGAGAATACAAAGGTAAGTCCAAATACCAAATTTTAGTTCATTACAGTCGACGGTTTTGAAGATATTGAGAAAAAATTGTTTTTTATTTTTAAACTTCAACACACCGCATTTTTTTAATGAATCCCTCGATGTAAAAATGTTACATAGAAGACCCTTAAAATACGGTCCTGTGTAAGATATTTCATTTTTGGTCACGACTTGTGCATCACCATGTATATGGAATGTGCATTCAACCCTTATAAAAATATGAATAAATTCAGGATAGTTGGTGATATTCACGGTATATCCACTAGACAGTACGCTGATATGTACGTCCTTACCTTAGATTTAATTTGGGTTATAATACCATGGGATGAGACTTTAGAACAGAATACCCGATAATTTAAGGAGAAGTGATAAATAATTTATGTCATTTCACTAGGTGTTTAAAAGCATACTTGATAGAAGATTGTTTTTATACAGTGGCAGACTTCCTTAGTACTTGATATTATGTGTTTTTTTTGTCTTTCTGACCCCTCGAGATTTTTCCTGGCTCTCATTTCAACTTTTTTTTGACTGTTTATATGCAGTGTCTTTGGAATTAAATATTATTATTAGTATTATTATTGATGCAGTCGATCCTTATAAAGTTCAACAGAAGCCCTTGATTTGTTGCGTCGCCGATTGTGAATTACTAATGTTTCTGTCCTTTTATTTTCCTTCAAATATTTATTTTATGTTTTAAGGGTTGGAATAACTCTCTGATTGTGATTTTTATCATTTGAAGGAATTTTGATCTCAAGACAAGACACTGTCAAAATATGTTTTTCAATGTATTCGCCTTTGATAGTTGTTTTTTCAATAAATGGTGCTAATTGTAACGATTTTTGTAAATCAACCTTTCACTACAGCTCAGGATAAAATTTCCCTACGCCTGGGGTAGTGCCTTCCAATTATGCAGTAAAAAGGCTTTAAGTAAGCTAGAGCTCACCAGCTGCCCTTTACAATTTTGGTCATAGCAATATATTCATTGGATTTGAGGTTAAACCACAGATCATAATAATGCGACACGTGCTGTCGGTCCCTTTGATCTTCGTGTCCCCAACTGCTTACAACATTTCCCACTTCTGTTCACTAGCGTCCGAAGGATTTTTTCCTAGGGGTTGTTACGCGCTATTAGCCTCTCGTCACGAATGTCATATATCAAGCTACAGATTGGAGAAATTTGTGTATATTATTTCCCCAAATGCATTTAGTTCAGATAATTGATTTGTATTGATAAAACTATTTTGTGGATACGTGTCAAAACATTCCACGAATAACCCCCGAATGTCACAACAATAGAAATCCCACCAAACGCATAGAACTCAAGTTGGCGTTGATAGAACCTAACTTTTGACAGAGCGTGACTGGTAGTACTCTGTGGTTAAACTGTGCAAGGAATACACGTATTCATATGAAGCCAATCCTGCCGCCAAGGGTGGTGTGGTTCTCGGAAATCTAGTGGTCGTAGAACATCACGCGCATTGAAAAAACTCCGCATACCCTGTCGCAATCTTTACATACATTTCACTCACGTTCTACTATGCTTTGTAGGTTTATTACTTCGTGGTATATTAATATTACCCAATATATCTGCTCACAAGTAATCCGAACTGTCAAAGCTGGAGATGTGAGCCGTCATGACGACAGCAACAGAGAGAGAAACGCCTGATGCGCAGACCCTAAAATTCATTTCTTCTAGCTTACTTCATGGTCAACATTTTTGGCTTCCCCCCACTGTCTGAGCTTAACCTTCATTCTCTAATCTTCGTGATGCGTTTCACCCGTGTTAAGGCTTACACGCTACGTGTTATTGTACGTTTTGTGGGGCAGGACAAATCCTATCGAATAAAACGTGGCGTGTAAACAGCAAAACGCAGGTCTTGTCGAGTCGAAATTAAATCCAAGGTCAGATTGAGAAACTGATGAGAGAAGCATCATTTTGCAAGAACTGATAGAACAAAACGAAACGTGTAGAC